AGGGAGAATAGCAACTGCCAGTCCTGCATGGAGCTTGTCACTCACAGCTTAGAGTGATACAGGTTTTCTCTGCCTTTTGCTTCCATTTTCTCTCTCCAGTGGGGGTAGTAATGTTACAAAATCAGCACATGCTGTGAGGATTAGTTCCTGTGACATTCGCTGAGCAGTAGGTCTGTGCCAAAACCTGTAAGCTATGTTTGCTGCAGTTCTTGCTCCTTAGTGTGTTTTGTGACAGAAATCATCTGAGCTGTGAACATCTCATCCCAAATAACAGTGCCTATCCAGGGTTGTGGAGATCAAGTATTGAGGAAATGACCAGTTTCTAATACCTGCAAGTGAAACCAGATTTGTAGCTCTGGTAGCTGCAGAGTCAGGACAGTTGGCAGCATGTGCTGGTGGTGGGATGGACAGGGTTCCACTGGTGTCACAGCATGACCCTGGGTGCCAGTGCTGGTGTTGGTGTGTGTGCTCACAGTGGGTGCCTGTGCTGTGTCTGGTTGGTTCTGGTCTGTGTTGTGCATCATGGTGGTACCTTAGAAATCCTCAAAAAGCTGTATTAAGATCTTTGGGATTTGCTGCTGTGTACAAGAGTAAAGAGAAAGAAACTCTTTTCCCCTGTATTTAGTTTCATAAAAAGCTCTCTAAGAGTGTAATTTTAAAAAAGAGTAGATCTGCTGGCAGAAGGACAGAGTGCATTAAAGATTTCTTATCTCTTGGGTGTTTGCTCAGCTGATTTGTGTGGTGAGGCTCAAGAAAAGAGGGCTGGCTGGCACTGCAGGTAAGGGCAAGGTCAGGTGCATTGAGCTCATGGTTTATGCAGCAGCTCAAAGGCTTCTGCAGACCTGAGCTCTCTGTGGTGTGGACTTGCACTTGAAGAAAAGTTGCATACCATACTGAGTGTTCTAAAGATACCTTTGGTTTGGAAAAATTAGCTCTTTTTAGTGTAAAAATTGGGCGAAAAACCTTCAATAACTGGTGTCACTGAGGTGAGGCTGAGGTGTTACAAGGGAATAGCACACACTGAAGTGCAAGACCTGTGGTTTGAAGCAGCTTTGCTTTATTACATTTTCCTTATTTGTGTTATTGATAATTTTGAAGCAGCTTTGCTTTATTACATTTACCTTATTTATGTTATTGATAACGTTAACTAAGGTTGAATTTGTTTTTCTTTCTTCCAGATGAAATAAAAAGTGAGCTGGAAAAGCAAAGGTAAATCATTAACTGCAGTAAACTGTGTGTGGAATGAGCAAGTGGAGATGTGAGAGTGTCTGTATATCACATCAGTGAGTGTGAGAGCACTCAGCCACTCACCTCTCCGCCAAGAACATCTGGCCCATGTGATCCACTTGCACAATGTTGTGGCTGTGGGTACTCAAGCCATAACTGCCTCTGGATTTCACTGTGAAACAATTGCAAAACCTCTGCAAGGTGCTGGATTTCACTTCCTTTTACTGGGCTTAATACAGCCGGATAGGGAATGACAGGAGCAGTCAGCAGCCTCTGCTTGGCAGCGTGTGCTCTTTGGTACCTGTGTCAAGATCACCGGTTTAAATATGACTTAAATCCAAGTTTTAAAACTGTTTTCCAGCACTGTACTGTGATTTAAAATGGGCAAATGGGCCTCCAAATGTTTTCTCTTTGCTTAGCTCCTCTTATGGGCCCTGTTAAGTCTGTCCATGTATTCAGTTGTGCAAGAGTTCCCCAGTATTTCAGGTAATGGGAGTGTTGGAGTATAGTGAGGGGAGAGTTAAGCTGATATGAAAAAGATCAGCTGCACTGTAAATAAAGTGGGTTTTGTGTGACTTTAAAAGGAAATGGAACTTCCTTTAAGGACATGTATGTGAGCTAGTTGTGGTATGTTTGTCTGGTGGGTATCGCTGCACTCTGAGCGTAGGAGCGGGGAACGCGTGGTCTGCTGTGCTGTGCGTGTTCCAAGAGCTAACAGCTCCTCTTCCCTGGCCTAGAGAAGGCACTGCTGCTCCACCGAAGGCAAATTTCATTGAAGCGGATAAGTATTTCCTGCCATTCGAGCTGGCCTGCCAGTCCAAGTCTCCTCGCATTGTCAGCACATCCCTGGACTGCTTACAGGTGAGCACTGTGCCGGGCAGGGTCAGAGGGGAACAGCACTGCCCTGAGCCTGCCGTGCTGCTGGCAGTGCTGATGTGAGGAACAGCACTGCACTGAGCCTGCCGTGCTGCTGGCAGTCCAGCTGTGTGGCAAGCCTCCCCCTAGGGAAGGGTCCCTACTGTGTCAGTGAAGATGCTCCATCTGTGGTGCTCCAAAAGGAGTGTTACCGTGGTGTCTCTGGGGCCGATGCGGGGCAGGTCAGGCTCTGGAGTCTTCTTTGTTCCTCTTTAGGTTCTTACAGAGTTCTTACACATCTTGGGCAGAACCTTTCTGTTGTGAGTAGGTACAAAGACTGATGTTAAAGAACTTGTGTCTGGTTATGGTAGGAGGGGATGGTCTGGGTGGGAGAAGCTTGTGTGGCGGTTAGTAAAGTCTGTTCGGGCCAGGTGTGTGCACTACCCGTGTGTTTGGTGTCCAGACTAGAGGTGGTGGTTGGTTTTGTGTCAAAACTGCTTGAGTGAGTTTTGCCATGCAACCACCCATTTTTATGCTGTGCTAAACTGTATTTTTCCAAATAGTGTGTGGTCACCTAAGCTCATTGTTTCTGCCCAGAAACTCATTGCCTATGGACATATCACCGGCAACGCTCCGGACAGTGGAGCCCCCGGGAAACGGCTGATTGACCGGATAGTCGAAACCATCTGCAACTGCTTTCAGGGCCCTCAAACAGATGAGGGAGTGCAACTGCAGATAATTAAGGTATTCTGGGCAGCAGAATGTAAGGGAATGCTTTGTAAATGTTTGTCCTCCTTTCTGAGATGAGCCATCCTGCAGACAGCTCGATGCTCCTCTTCGAGGCTTGCAGTGCCCACATCCCTCAGCCCAAGCTGCAGGCACTGGAGCTGTGGTGCAGTGCCATGGGCTGCTGCTCCAGCCTGTCTGCTCCCATGTCCATCTTTCCAGACACCTGCAGTGCCAGTGGCACGTGCTCTGGTTCTGAAATCAATTTGGACTACTGTGGCTGAGGTTGGAAGTTGGTGAACATTTTAGTGATCTACTTTGATGGTAGTGTGGGCCAATTGGTCCTTTCATGGAAACACAGCTGTGGGATATAATAACTTCCACTTGGAGAGGGAATATGTCCCTTAGTGGAAAAGTAGTTGTGATAAAACAGTGACAGCAGCTCAGGAGAGAGCAGAGATATCTGTAAGTTCTGTTAGACTTTCTTGGATTTGAACTATGCAAGTTCCTTGTGAAGTCTTTGAAGAGTGACCTGTGTTTGGTGACAAACCCACTGATTGTTCTGGAAGACTTGCACTAGCAGCATTGCTGCCTCGTTGCTTAGATTTCATTTGACTGTGTTCTGGACTTTTCCAGGCTCTCCTCACTGCAGTAACATCTCCATATATAGAAATTCATGAAGGAACTATTCTTCAGACTGTCAGAACCTGCTACAACATCTATCTGGCCAGTAAAAACCTTATTAACCAGACAACTGCCAAAGCTACCCTGACACAGATGTTAAATGTCATTTTTACACGAATGGAAAACCAAGCTGTAAGTAACTATTGCTTATGCTCATCCCAAGTGTTTGGGCTTGGCAAACGACAGAGAACCGTATTATTATTATTTTTAGTGGGTCTGTCAATGCAGTTGTAGATCTGTCGATGTATGGTGTCACACAACCTGCCCAGCCCTGCAGCGCAGCACACCCACTGCTGGCAGCAGGGCTTCACACTGTCCCTCCTGTCCACTGCCATTGGATAAACAAACGGTGGGAGGCTTCAAAAGTGAACTTGAAGCACATCTTTTGAATCTGACTGGCCAAGTGGTTGTAGTTTCACTGCTGACACGCGAATCCACAGAGGAACGTCAGTCATCGTAGGCGTGTCTAGTGCCTTTGATTAACCTTTTCGTATTGCTTTGTAAGGCACACGAATCCAGAGAAGCAGAAAAACCAAGCCATCCAAAGCCACAGACCCCTGCAGTGCCAGGAGTGCCCCGATCCCCCAGGCTGGGGCAGCTGCAGCACAGCTCCCCGGGCAGCGGCCGCACGGAGCTGACCAACGGCGAGCCCGAGGGGGCAGGAGCAGAGGGCAGGCTGGAGCAGGACCTCGCCCCGCCGGCACCAGGTGAACAGCACGAGGCTGGGGCTGCCTCCAGTTGGTGTTTGTCCTGGACAGTGCTCGTTTGGGCTGCTTTGAGGAGAAGTGCCTAGGGTCACAGGCTCCTGCCTGGCTGTTCTCAGCAGTCACTCAGTGTTGGCCATCCCTGGCTCCTCTCTACATTATAACTGTTGAAGAAAGGCTTCAGCTTTCCCTAGAGTTCTAGTAAAACTGTATGTGCTTTAGCTGTGTAGAACTTCAGTGGAGTTTGGCTTGGTTAGGTTGATGAAGGGGAAAGAAAGAAAGATAATAGTCCTGGTATGTGGGAAGTGATAGAATCGCTCTGAGGCAATTGAAGTCCTGTGGTAAAAATAATGTGTATTATGAAGACCATGTCATAAGCATATACTGTATCCAAAGTAGGAAAGTGGGATATTCCAAAACTGAAAGTTTGTAGCAGTCGATAAATACAACTTACAAAATCACTGCGGTAACAGTATCAGTGCTTTGATTTAAACAGCATAAGTAACATGAATGAGTACTTTTGTACAACTTCTCAAAACGGCTCTCGAGGAGAATACTGAGCAAAATCAGTAATTTTTAACCCTTCTGCCTCTGTCATGTTTTTCCTTTTAATCTTCTTCCTAACCAAAAATACTAAATTCAAAATTATCTCTGTGTTTCATTAGAGGAAACAACTGATGGAGGAAAGGAAATGGTTAAAGGCATCTTGGAAGATGTGGTCAAGTCAGCTGTGAAAGGTAGCAAAGTCTTCTAAAGTGAAATAGATGCATATATACTGCCAAGCTTTCATTCCCATGATCATAGAAGCATGGAAGTCATTTCTTTGACCAAGTGTCTTGACAAGAACACTGTCTAAGGCAGCAAAAACAGGTTTTGATTGTGTTACAGTGTTCTTCTTCTGCTGATCACTGAGAAACTCTCCAGTTTAGCAGCGCTTCTTCCGTCCCACTCGGTGGCAGAGCTGCACAAAGTCAGGGGGTGAAAAACCCTCAGTGGGTGGTTGTAATCAGTTTTCCTCTTCCCCTTTAGTGGCCGAAGAAAAGCAGGTAACAGAGGCAGGCAGGGCTCTGCCTGCAGTGGAGACTGCAGAAACTGTTGTGTCTGGCTCTAGCAGCGAGAACGTGCAGACAAACGGGATTCCAGATGATGGGCAGTCTGTCTCCTCCACGGACAATCTGGTCAGTAACTTCGCCTGGTGCTGATAGACATCTGGGAAAGAAGAAATGTTTCTATGGTGCCAACCAATGGAGTGGGATCTAGGGGAGGAAGGAGAATGAAACTAATGTCCTGCTCAGGTCCAAAAAGGAAACAGCAACTGCAATTTAAGTGTATATTGAAAATAACTGTCCTAGAAGTGATTATGTTAGTTGTACTTTAATACCAAGTGGGGACAGAGGCAAAGAGTCAGTCAGCATGTGTGAAAAGACCCAGATCCCTTATAATCCTGCCTAGGTTTAGTTTAAGCTTTGCCAAATGTACCATTTTCTTTAATCTGTAGCTGATTCTCAGAGGAGCTGTGGAGTCTGCTAATTGCTCTGTTCCTTTGCCTCACTGAGGATCTGGTGTTGTTTCTTGCTCTCAAGGAAGCAGATGTGTCTGGACATCAAGCTGCTGCCAGATTTTCCCACATTCTACAGAAGGATGCCTTCCTCGTGTTCAGGTCCTTATGCAAGCTCTCCATGAAACCGCTCGGGGATGGACCTCCAGATCCCAAGTAATGAGACTCTTTATCCCACTGTCCTCTCCAGGTAGCTTTGGGAGACAGTTAGGTTGCTGCTGTATAGTAGAGCAGTATTCAGGTTCACCTCTCAGCCCTTGTTTAGGTTAGCTTGATGAGTCTGGGATTGAAACTCGCTTTAAGTGATTAAAAATGTTGTACTTGAGATTATTTTGTGTGTAATGGGCTCATTAATCTTAGCAGTTGAAGTGGCCTTGACTACAGTATTTGTGAAGCTTTCGATGGGTTAGCAGGGAAGTGGTGGCACTGAGTTGCATCTGTTATGCTAGTCTGAGAGGTCAATGTTCCTGAAAAGCTTCCCAGTTGAGGTGGTAGAGGTTCGGCCACCCCTTGGAGGCTGATCCCAGCCCTCCTGCCCCCACCGCCGCGCGTTCCTCTGGGCAGTGCCCGGGCTGGGCAGGTCTGTGCTCAGAGCTGTGCCCTGCCCTGAGTGCTGAATTCCCTCCAGGTCCCACGAGCTGCGCTCCAAGGTGGTGTCCCTGCAGCTGCTGCTCTCGGTGCTGCAGAACGCGGGCCCAGTCTTCAGGACACACGAGATGTTCATCAATGCAATCAAGCAATACCTCTGTGTAGCACTGTCCAAAAACGGAGTCTCTTCTGTTCCTGACGTGTTTGAGCTCTCTCTCGCCATCTTTCTCACGCTGCTTTCCAATTTTAAGACACATTTAAAAATGCAGATTGAGGTGAGAGGCTTTTTATCTGTAATTTGCCTACGCTCTAGGTCTCAAAATGCTGCAGTGGTACAAAGACAGCTGCAGCTTACAAGTTGGTGTTTCGGTTTGGTTTGCTTACTAAACTGGTATATTGCTTACTAAACTAGTATATTGCTACTGTATTCAGATTCCAACATGCATGAAATGAAACTCGTCAAGAGAAATCACTGGACAGAAATGAATCTGTACTTTTGATGTGTTTCTAATTACTTCAGATCATCAAGTCCTTTACCTTGTTTATTTTGCAGGTGTTCTTCAAAGAGATCTTCCTGAATATTCTAGAGACTTCTTCGAGTTCCTTCGAACACAAATGGATGGTGATCCAGACTTTAACTAGGATTTGTGCAGGTATTTCCATTGTGAGCAGCAGTTGCTTCCCCGGCAGTGTATAAAATTGCTTTGAAGATAAATGGCACACATAATGTTTGAGTGTGAAGAGCTGAGTTTGATCCCAGAGTGCCTGGGTTCATGCCTGGATTGGTCCTCACTGCCTGCCCCAGCTGACTGATTCTTTGCACAGTGCTATTTTTCTTTGTTGTGCAGATGCCCAGTGTGTGGTGGACATCTACGTCAACTACGACTGTGACTTAAACGCTGCCAACATATTCGAGCGCCTGGTGAACGATTTGTCCAAAATCGCCCAGGGACGCAGTGGGCACGAGCTGGGCATGACTCCTCTGCAGGTGAGCAAAACAGCTTGGAAGGTCAGCTACTGTTGTTTCATGAACAGTGCTGTCTCTGCAGCATTGCTGACAGTTCCAGTGGCTCTTGCTGTCTGCAGCCTACTGGTGTTACTTGGTTTTATTGGTTTGCTAATGTGCAATTGGGTGCTGGAGCAATGCCATTCGTTTCCTGGTGGTTCTGCTGCCTGTTTGCACAGAGACCAGGCTGGTTCTGGGCTTTGGCTTGGGCTGCCATGGGAGAGTGAGCCACACGAGCCTTCCTCTGCCTCACTCAAACAACTGCCCTTCTGTGGGTGCCTTCATCCCGGGTTTGCCTGGCACAGACTTTGTGCCACATCTCCACCACAAGCATCTGTTTGTAAGGTTATCCTTCCCCTTAGAGGGAGGCTTGTGTAGAGACTGTTCGTGCTTTGGTTTTTGAAATTTTGTTATTCCTTGTTTGTGTTTTAGGAACTAAGCTTGAGGAAAAAAGGACTTGAATGTTTGGTTTCTATTTTAAAATGTATGGTGGAATGGAGCAAAGACCTTTATGTGAACCCCAACCATCAGAGTGGCTTGGGTAAGATTGTTTCCTTATGGAGAGACCCCTTTGGTCAATCAGTTTGCCCTTGTGTGTGCTCAGTGCTCAGCAGCTGTTCAGAAGTGTGGCTGCTGGGTTTGTTCCTAGCAGTTTGTTTATACAAGTGAAGCATGTTACAAACAGTTGTTATGCTGATGCATTAATATGCTGATGACTGACTGAGTGTCCAAATCACCAGGTGCTGTGGATGAGCTTTAGCCAGGCCCTTGTCTGCACTACAAAGGCTTGAGCAGAACAAGCCATGTGACCAATCTTGCAGCTACTAAGTTGGAGTTCAGGAATTTCTCCGTAGCTGCTGAATTATTTAGAACTGCATCAATAGAACATCTTCATGTGTAGTGCAGACTGACAAAAAGGGTACATGGTAAAATGACAGTATTGACTCATCAATTTCTGCTAAAAAGTTCTGTAACAAAAAGCTCTTGACTGAACAGGATAACTTAAGTCTTGCCCTGTTTCTAAATAGGTTCATATAAACCATCTGAGCAGGAGATGGCTGAAGGTAAATGTCTGGAGAGTGGAGGAAGAAGGAGTAGTGTCAGTTCCTTGGACTCCACTGTGTCATCGGGAGTCGGAAGCGTGGGTACCCAGACTGCTGTCCCAGATGATCCAGAGCAATTTGAAGTCATCAAGCAACAAAAGGAAATAATTGAGCATGGGATAGAACTGTAAGCCCACTAGTGAAAATGTGTGCAGTCATGTTGTTTCCTGCGGTTTACACAGCCAGACCTGTAGGCACCCTGACAAACTGATCCTGATGCTGAAGGCTTTGCTGCTCTTGTCAAAACACGATGCCTGGAGAGCGATTGGTGTGAGGATCAGGGTTGTCTTACAGCTCTTACACTGTTTGTTGTCTTGTATTGAAACAGTGTTTGGAGAATTAAATCGCTGGCAAGCAGTGCTTTACTTTCTCATTAGTTTGAAGATCTTCATACCTGTTCATGCTATAAGAAAAGTCTTGAACTGCAACAATTTTAGCATTTCATGGGAAGTCTCTAATTTTTAATATTTCAAGAGGTCAGTTTTTATTTGAGTTTATTTTATTTGAGTTTATTTGAGTTGATTTGAGCAATAACATATAAGGTTAACAGCAACTGAATGGTGTGATACAGGTTAAAGATTTGTCGCACATTCCTCGACTACTGAATGGTGTGATACAGGTTAAAGATGTGTCGCACATTCCTTGACTTTTTTCTAACTAGAAAAAACAGGACATGGAGCTACAGCACAGAATCTTTGGTTTATAAGGCTCTGTAGAACTAAAATCATATAGGCTGTGATATTTTGGTTGCATGTCTCAATTTCCCCGTGTTTCTGTCTGAACAGGTTTAATAAGAAGCCGAAGAGAGGCATACAGTATCTGCAGGAGCAGGGAATGCTTGGCACGACAGCAGAGGACCTGGCACAGTTTTTGCACCAAGAGGAACGGCTCTGTTTTGTAAGATCACATGCAGCACACTTACCCCAGCACCTCTGCCCTGCCCCTGATGTCTGTGTGCTCCCTCTCTGTAGCTCAGAGCTCAGGCACAGAGAACTGAAAGTGTAAGGCTTCTCGTGGGGGCACTTCATACCAAGGCTGCTCACTGTTTCCATGCTGTCCCAGGCTTCATAGCAAAGCACTGTGCTACAGTGAAGTGCTGGGGGGTGCCTTTTAGCTGTCCCTGCATTGGCAGTACCTTGCCAGCACAGGAGTGTCGTACCACAGTGGCAAAGGATTCTCTGCTGTGAGAGAAACCAGCACAGTTCAGCCTCCCTTGGTTCTGCAGCAATGCAGCTCTTGCCCTGGGAGGTGAGGGAAGCAGGAACATGCAGACTAAGGGCCTGTCTGGTGCCCCATCCAGTGGCTGCTCTGCCTGCTCAGCAGTGTGTGCCAGCTTGCAGAACTGACAGCTGTGCAGCTCTCGTGCTAGAAACCCTGCAGAGCTGGCAGTAATAACTGTTTCTTGTGTTTTTAGACTCAAGTAGGGGAGTTTCTTGGGGAAAGCAACAAGTTTAACAAGGAGGTGATGTATGCCTATGTAGACCAGCTTGATTTCTGTGGAAAAGACTTTGTCTCTGCTCTGCGTATATTTCTGGAAGGTTTCCGTCTGCCAGGGGAAGCCCAGAAGATTGACAGATTAATGGAGAAGTTTGCTGCTAGATATATTGAGTGCAACCAACGGTAATCCAACCCTTTGTGTGGGATGAGTGCCCAGAGAACGCTCTTTTTGCATGTGGAGCTGGAGCTAATGGGCTCTATAAACCTGCTCTGTTTCTCTCTCCCTCAGGCAAACACTCTTTGCCAGCGCTGACACTGCCTATGTTCTGGCATACTCCATTATCATGCTGACCACAGACTTGCACAGTCCACAGGTAGAAATTAAAAACATTAAACTTTGAGACGTCCAAGTGTTCCTGGAACTTGCATACAAAATCTGATACCCAACTTTGTTTTCTTTTACAGGTGAAAAATAAAATGACAAAGGAGCAGTACATTAAAATGAATAGAGGAATCAATGACAGCAAAGACCTCCCAGTGGAGTATTTATCCACAATCTATGAAGAAATAGAAGGAAAGAAAATCGCCATGAAAGAGACAAAAGAATATGCAATTACAACCAAGAGTAGTAAACCAAGTAAGAAAGAACTAGAAACTGGAGAGACCGCGGTGCTCTTGAGCTGTTGCAGGAACTTTGGGGTTGCAAAGTGGTGTGCAGAGTCCGTGTGAAAATGTCTTTGTGCGACACATAAAGTACATTGAATGGCTAATAGAATTGCTTGGAGTGGAACTGGCTCAGGATTTGTTCTGGGTTGGTTTTTTGTCTCCCTATCACATAGCTTGTCATGGAACTGGCTCAGGATTTGTTCTGGGTTGTTTTTTTGTCTCCCTATCACATAGCATGTTCAGAGGCTGGTAGGTGTCACGGTCCTTGTGATAGTGTTTGCAAAAGGAAGATTAGGGAGTTTGTCATGGTCTGTAGTCACCACACCAAATGTGTGTGGTGTGCAGCAGAAACCAGTATCCCCAGCTGTACCCTGAGTTCTAACCTGCTCTAAGATTTTTATCTTCAGTTTTCATTTGCAGCCCCTTTAACACTTTGTGATGCTCCATGCAAAGACGTGGAGTACTCTGTCACAGGAGAGCATGTCCATGCAGCTGTGTGGTGTTCCCTGCAGGTGTAGCCAGCGAGAAGCAGAGGAGGTTGTTGTACAACCTGGAGATGGAGCAGATGGCGAAGACAGCCAAAGCCCTGATGGAGGCAGTGAGCCACGCCAAGGCGCCGTTCACCAGCGCCACTCACCTGGATCACGTCAGGCCCATGTTCAAGGTGAGCGCTGTGTTCTCCTGGTGTCCTCCTTGCTAAGAGTTTGAAGCATGGAAGAAGGGTGGAGAATCACTCTGAAGAGTCTGGCAGTGCAACAGGTGGACTCTTTGGATGTGCTTGGTTTCAGTGACCTAGTGTTGTGGGCTAAAATTGTAATAGGTTTCTGACCTTACTTCCTTCCACTCTCCAGCTTGTATGGACCCCACTGCTGGCAGCTTACAGCGTTGGCTTGCAGAACTGTGATGACACAGAAGTGGCCTCCCTGTGTTTGGAAGGAATACGCTGTGCGGTTAGGATAGCCTGTATCTTTGGAATGCAGGTTGGTGCAGGTTGGCCGTGGGGCTCTGGAGGGCAGAGAACAGTTGCAAACAGCTTGTACACAGGAGATGACATGTCTCACCTGCTTTTTAAATGGTAAAAGATCTTGATATGACCAAACCGTTCTTCAACTCTGCTTTCCTTTTCCTGACTGAGTTTTCTATTAAGAGTGTTTGCTAACTCATCCTACTCTCCTTTAGCTGGAAAGTGCCCTGATAGTGCCAGCCTTCCACAGAGGGAATGCTGTGTAGCCAGGTGGATTTCTCTGGTGCCTCAGGGACTTGATTACGATGCCTGTTTCTGTGTCTTGTAGCTAGAACGAGATGCTTATGTACAGGCCCTTGCCCGTTTTTCCTTGCTGACTGCCAGTTCCAGCATCACAGAAATGAAGCAGAAGAACATCGACACCATTAAGACACTCATTACAGTTGCTCACACAGATGGCAACTATCTTGGGAATTCCTGGCATGAGGTAAACCTTGATGAGCTGTGGTGTGCTCTGAAACCTGCAGGATATCTATTCTTCTGCTATCAGCTCCCAGAGCCCTCTTGAGAGGGTTGGAGTTCTAACTTAGACCTTTGGCACTGTGTATTTTTTCTTGTATCGGAATGATTTGTGGCAGCTGATGATGTTGAATGAATCACTCAACGTCATTTTCAGTTTAGTTACGTTTCAGCTACATCAAAGCTGTTACCATGGTCAGAATTGTTTTAAAGGCTGGAGAACCTGAGAAGGTTTATACATATTGGATATGAATACGTTAGGACTAAAAATGTGGTGGTGTGCAGAAACACAATGTTTGATCCCTTTGGTTTTAGATCCTGAAGTGTATTAGCCAGCTGGAGCTGGCACAGCTCATAGGAACCGGCGTGAAGACTCGGTACCTGTCCGGCTCTGGGCGCGAGAGGGAAGGCAGCACCAAGGGCTATGTCTCTGCAGGGGAGGAGTTCATGGGCCTGGGGCTAGGTGAGGCTCACAAAGGGGCACATCCAGATGGAGGATGGCTACGAATACTCAGTCTTATGTTTGATGATTGATAATTAGTTTCCCAAAGGAATTTATTATTTCTGCATGTTGGGCTTGCTGCTCCAATTCCTGTTGTTTCTGCAGCATGTGCAGGACACAAACCTGAGGTTTTAGGCTGTGAATCAGAGGGGCAAGGCAAGCTGCCTTGCTCTTTGGGAAACCACGAAGGAAACATTTGAATTTGCAAACACGCTGGAGAGGATGCTCTACCTGATGGTGATGAATATAACAAGATTATAGCCCAGCATTAGCTACTTGTAGCTGACCTAGAGTTCATATTTTAAAGTAATATTTTATCCTTTCCAGTTTTGTTAACAGCATCATATCATCTTAGTACACGTAGCTGTGTAATAACCTGGCTCAGATCTGGCAAAGGCACCGTCTGCTCCATATAAATTACATGGTGCCCGGAACCAGGAGTCGCTTCTCTTTGTCTGTTACTTGTTGGAGTTTCCATGTTCCCGACACTCAGTGCTGGTTTTCAATGTCTGTGTTGCAGGGACCCTGGTGGGGAGTGGGGCTGACAGACGGCACATGGTGAGCATTCAGGAGTCCGTGGGGGAGACCAGCTCGCAGAGTGTGGTGGTGGCAGTGGACAGGTACTGGGAACACAACCTCTGCATTCTTGTCTGAGCCGTTATCTTTGCCATCTGCCTTTCTGAAAGGCTGTCTAAAGACATGCTGCTTTCCCAAACCACCTCTTGGGACAGGACTTGTTAGTAACTACTGAAACTGTTGTGCCAGTCTGTAGTCATAGCCTTGGAGTATTTGTTCTGTTACCACACCGAAGTCCAAAGGATTTGGGGGCATTCTCCACTTACCAGTGTTCTATAGGGCCCACTGTTAGTGGTCTAAACTGCTCTCAAGACTGAACAGCTGAAGGGGAAGAAGGGACAGCTGTGCATCCATAGTCTTTCTCCTGTCTGTTTTGACAGCCACAGCTGAGGGTATCCTCAGGCCACGTACAAATCCAGCAGGTGGCTGCATGCAGTGCAGTCCTGCTCAAAGCTTTCTTGATGTGTTTTACTGTCCCCATGAAGTTTAACATACTGTCACCCAAACTGTGTGGCAGCATTACTTGTCCAGGATAAAACCGTGAGCAGGGCAGGAGCACAGCAGACTGTGCCCTGCAGTGGGGAGGAGAGTGAAGGGGACGAAGGGCTGCCGAGGAGGAAGGGTGGAACTGATGGCCTGGAGGATTGTGCTGTAGGAAGGGTGGAACTGATGGCCTGGAGGATTGTGCCGTAGGAAGGGTGGAATGGATGGCCTGGATGATTGTGCCGTAGGAAGGGTGGAATGGATGGCCTGGAGGATTGTGCCGTAGCTCCAGGTGTGCTGAGGGGCGATGGTGTGTGTGATGGTGTGCGGCTAACGCGGCTGCTGTGTGTTCTGCAGGATATTCACGGGCTCCACCAGGCTGGACGGGAACGCCATAGGTAGGTGTGGGGGGATGTGGGGCAGGGTGGGGG